TTTAATCGTTCGAGAAACAGAATTTCTTCAAGATTTTGCATGTGCGCGATATACATTAAAAAGTGTAGCATGTTACACGGCCTTCCATCGAATTGCGCTCAAACGTATGATGTACTTCACGTACCATACAAGATATTCTTCTACATGAATTTCCGAAAATGAACATTCTGATGAAGATGCACCACACACCTGTCAAGAATTCTCTAACTTCGAACAATAGAGACGAATGTATGTATATGTACGAATATGTGTGCAAATATATTAGCGTACATCAATCTGTGCTATGTGTAAAAAATGATATAAATTTAAAATAGTCTCGTGCATACCATTATAACATTGACCTTTATATTATATTATATTATAAATATATATTATAATATAATATTTTATATATTATAAATATATATTATAATATATTTTATATATTTATATTATATATATTATATATATAATATATTTATATTATATATATTATATATATATTTATATTATTTATATTATATATATTATATATATTATATTATATTTATATTATAAAGGACGTTACATAATATTACATAATATTACACAATTAACGAATAAATCTACGTATATAAAAATGCAAGTCAATTTTACAATTCCAACAGCTTCGTTAATGTACACTGTTTCTTTCCTTTCTTTTACTAGCTCTTCCATGTCTCGACGTTATAAAAATATTGATATTGATAATATAATAGTAATATAATTAACATCTTACGGAGTATATACAATTGGAACATTCACAATTCAAGAACCTGCAGTATGTTTATTCAATCAGGTCCAACTTATACGTTTAACAATTTAATCCATTACGATACAGACTATCACTTTTTATCGCCAATCTTCAACGTATGATTTTGTAGTGGAAACTTAAAAGAGGCCACTACAATTTCATATATATGTATTCCACTAATGCTGATGTTAATACATTACAACAATATATCGGTAAAATATATTTACTCCTATAAGTTTTCAATTTATTTTATTCTAATGGCAATAAGATTAACAAAATTTAGCTAACAAAGGAATTTAGTTTCTTAAAAGATATTTGAGAAAAACTTCGCAACTACTCTGCTCTAACAAATTTTTAAATAATAAATACTGCACAATTAAAAGTTTTTAATAAATTGCACAATTAAAAAAGTTAATTATGTTTTTACAGTTCAATATTATTAATGTACGGGTGCTACGTTTTTATTTTCAAAATACATCGTAAAAACATTCGACATTTATCTAACGAGATTAAGCCTCGTATTTAAATAATAGTAATTTTCAATCTATTAATATCAGTTTATTCCACAGTAAATAGTTGAATTAAAAATATCCTGCAGGCGATAAAGCGTGATAGCAATATAATGGTAAAATAAATGTTATTGAAATTAAATTGTGTATATATATATATATATATATGCACAATGTTTAAATTTAATATAAATACTTCTGTCAACAGAGTAATTTATAAAAACAAATTCATTATTCCAATCAAAATTTCATTCTGGAAGACTACATACAATAACTTCATACAATCAAAGTAAATGCAAAACACTATTCACAAAAATGTTCTATTTTATATGTTTATTAGAAAAAGAAATCATTGTTTTCACAAAACAAATTTTTTCTAATTGTTAGAAAGATATATACGTTCTGAATTTTTCTATGTAATCAGTATATTTCTCTTCCTCTAAGGTATTTTGTAAATGTTATTACTACCGTTTAATATTTATTTTATTATTAGAACTTTCATAAAAATTTGGACTAAAAATCTTACTTTGCAATGTCTCTAATTCCAAAATAAAAATAATCTTTGCTATAAATTCATTGTACAAATGAAATTTGTTCAACAAATAAAAATACTTGGCAATCTAATCTTATAATACGTGTTTTCTTTTTTTTTTAATTCAATATACAAAAAAGTTGATTTTAATTCCACAGATGGTGATATATATATATATATATATATATATATATATAT